CCCTACAAACCCCGAACAGCTCACTCAAAAAACCACAAACCATTGTAAAAAAGAGGGGGGAAAAAAAAAAAAAAAAAAAAAAAAAAAAAAAAAGCGCAACTTTTTTTGTTGTTCTAGTTGCACCAACCTTCAGGTAACCCAGGCTTGTCTGTTTGATTCATTTCATGATCCTCATTTTCTCTTTGTTTTGGCCACGTAGAATGAAAAAAAAAAAAAAAAAAGCAAAATAAGTTCAACATTTAAACCTCTGTCAGTTTTCCCAGTCAGTGCAAGGCAGGCCTTCGTCCTCAGACTCCGACTCCGGCGAGGCCTCCTTGATCCTCCTCAGGGCCTCGTGGATGCTGCGGGTCAGGGCGTCGGCGGAGTGCAGGAAGCTCTTGGGGTGGCGCTGTTGCTCTGGCCGGGCGCGGACCTTCTTCAGGCGCACGCCTTGCCGGATCTGAGCCAGGATGTTGTTGCCGTCGTCGTCCGGGTCGGGTCCGAGGACGCGCAGCTCGGCCTTCCTCAGGTGGAAGCTGCCGCGCTTCAGCGAGGCCAGCACCTCGTCCATGGGCGAGCTCGCTGCGGAGACGCAACGCTCAAACGTTAAAGGAACCGACTTGACGAAGTTAAATAGCAAAACTTCAATGTGTAACAATTGAATATGTGTTTCTCCCTGGAACTTTACTACCTTCAGTCTAAACTTTTAAGGTCTGTTCTTTCTTTATTTGAGGTAGAGAAGACTAAAAGTCTTTTTGCAAAACTAAAAACCTGGAATTTCTTTAGCACTAAAACTAACTTTGACAATGTCTTCCATCTGTAGTAATTTTATAACGCATTTCTCCGACACAAACTTCATGATGAGGCAGTTCATGCAGTCACTGCTGTAGCAGAGAGCATGGCCTGCTGAAGGCTTAGGCCAGATAAGGCCTCCAAGCCACCAGGGGGCGCTCTAATAAATCCCTGAATTAAAAAAAATCTAAAAAATCCAATGTTTAGATATTTTAGCTAGTGGTGTGACTCCAATAAAATTTTTAACCGAGTTTATTTCAGTGTTTGTAACTAAGTAACTGCATTTCAATCAAAAACCATACACCGACAAAATAACTTACATTTGCAATTCAAAAATCTTTTTGCATGTTAAAAATAAATGACCCTGTGATTAATTACATAGTAATTAATTAATAGAAATTAGCACTTCAAATTTCCAGCACTAATTTCTAAAACAATTTATTTCATTTTAGATAAAAGCAATTTAGCCAATTAACGTAGTTGAGCCTCCGCCAGATTCCAACAAATCTGTTTTGGACTCTTGAAACGTTTCCCTGTTAAGACCATAATCATGACTAACAAGTCAAATTCTCCTGGTGGCTCCATATGACTTTGGGCCGGTCCAGGTAGACGGAGATCTTTGATGTGGGGATATAACCCAGAGGTCAACAGCTGCTCTCCAAAAAAATTCCACCATTTCAAGAAAGGTTTCCTAACCTGCACTCCTAAAGTGTGTTGCTTGTGATAGTTTTCCTTACCTTTCCTCCACTGTGACGAGTCCAGCGATGCGGTCTTCCTCAGCTTCTTCCTGGCAGTCAGCAGCTGGCTGCTGTCAAAGAATCGCGGGGAAAACGGCGCCAGCGGCAGCGAGGTGCATTCAGACTCGGTCTTGGTCGGGCTGCTCGCTTGGCTCTCGGCGGGAGGAAGCGACTGAGGAAGCGACTGAGGAGGAAGAGGGGGAGGTGGCGGAGGCGCGGCAGGCGGCCCCACGGAGAGCAGAGACGGATTCGACGACAGGGGAGGCAGCGAGAGGAAAGGAGGCGCCGCTTCCACGCTTTGGAGGCCGATGGAGGGCAGCGAGGCGCCTTCGCAGCTGTAGACGTCAGCCGGGGGCGGAGATGAGAGCTCTGGGAGGTCGGAGATGGAGTCGGTCTGGACGCTGACCGCCTGGGTGCTGGGCTGCTGCCCCGCCCGCCTCCGGCTGGGAGTCTGGGCAAGCCGCAGGCGACTGGACCGGAGGGTCACCTGACCTGGGTAACGCTGCGTCAGAGACGGGAAAACATCAGTCAGAGGCTTCACTCACCTCCACAGGACACAACCATGGAAATATCACAAAGGGCCAGTATTATGTGTTTTCCATCCACATGATGCTATTTTACAGCATAATCAAGTAAATATATTAACTTCAGTTGATATAAAAATGCTACATATTTCAAATATAACTTAAAAGAAATTTGACTGTCTAATTCATCACCTTGAAATTGGGCCTCTGTCTCTTTAAAAGCTCACACATTTTGAATCTCTTCACAACTTCTGTTAACCCTTTAGCAATGCTTTTTACTAGTAAGGAGGAGCTGTGCCTCGAAGGCGGAGCTAGGTCCACCTAGGCGTTCTGCACAGCTGAACGGTTGCCATGGGAGATTAAAGGATTTCTTAAGCACGCATGAACCAATCAAATCAACACTGCAGGTGTGTTTTTGATGAGGGAAAAACATTACAACATGGTGCGAAACTCAAGAAAGACGACATGACATAATTCTCACATTTAATGCAGCTATTACAGTAGAAAGAGCGACTCAGCAGAGGCTGGAGGAGATTGGCAATAACGATTTAACGGCGGTGAAATCCTCACCTGTTTGAGGCTGCGCAGTCTGTCCAGAGTCCGCTGCCTTTCCTGACTCACATTTGCATTTCTTTTTGCTTCATCATCTTCTGCAGTTTCTCCTCCCTTTAAAAAAAAAGAAAAAAGCAGGGTTTAGATCCACCTGTGCGACTGGTTTGAGTGGCGATAAGCTGGATTTATTTAACGTTGCTCTGCACAATATTTTTGCAAAAGTATAATTACCACTTCAAATTTCTTATAGATGGTCACAATAGCAGATAATGTGACGCTCTGGCCAGACGGGAAATTAAGTTTTATGTTCGGGCCTGAATGGAAACCGATGCATTGTGGACGCTGCAGATCAATATGGACTTGGAATTATATCGCAATATTTTGTGGTATTGTTGAGATAATGATGACTTAACTAAATATTTAATACTTAATTTTTAGGAAACTGTGTAGCTGTGACTGAAGGCCACAGCATTCAAAGCCCCACAGACACAAACGTGGCCCTGGAAGACATTCCCAGTTGGAACCGGCTTCCTCAAGACGCTACTCGCTTCAGGAAGTTTGACTTAAACTGCAAACAACTGCTTCTAATCGCATTTTTTAATTTACTGATATTTATTTATGCTCTAGTTGAACAGTGGAGAAAATAGCAAAAATAACATTTCTGATCATACGGTCAACTGCATAAATTAAAATTTATTGAGACGATAAATCAGAATTCTTATAAGAAATTTCTTGCGATAAATGATACGATAAATGAAGACACCATTACAGCAGAGAAACATTGTGTGAGATGCTTTTGAAAGCTGACATTCAAACAAACAAGAGTGTCTAGAGATCCACATGCAGTTCAAACAGCCTTTAAATGTCCTGCAGCTTTAATTTCAGCTACAGAAGGATCACAAACTATGGATGCACGCTGCATCTTTCTCTGGTTTTGGTTTGTTTTCTCCGTATTGATTTATGAGCTGAATGGTGGGACAGGTGGCAGCGCTGATGCCTTGCCGCAAGAAGGTCATCGGTTCAAATCCCAGTTTAAAAAACCCCACAAAAAAACCACATAGCGAATGCTAACTTGTTGCTGCAGCAAAACGACTGGATCTGACCTGCCGCAGTACCTGCAGAGAGCTGAAGTCGACGTCGTTTCCTTGGCGCTGCTGGATTTTCTGGTTGTGATTGAAGATACAGATTTCCTAATGAAGAAAAATAAATAAAAACGAAATGGAAAGGTGTAACAGACAAAGCTTTAAATAGCTAGAAACACCCGGCGGCATTTGAAGGAGCACGCAGATCGGACCTTCTTGTTTTTGAGGTAGACTTTCTTGGCAGTGATGCGGCCCCTCCGGGCCTCCAGTTGCCGCGTCCTCTGCTGCAGGACGCACAGTTCTTCATCTCTGAGGGGCAACGGAGGGGATGCGGGCTCCTCTTCGCCCTTCATGGCGTCTGGGCTCTCGAAGGCATCGTAGTAGACCACCTCATCCTGTCGCTCTGGGAGAAGAACCAGCAGAGGTTTTAGTTTGACGAATAAATGGCTTTGTTAGAGCCAGATCAGGTGAAGAAGAGAACACGAGGAAATAATCAGCAAGAGCCTTTGAGTTTTAACAAGAATGTATCTAAATTATCTTGTCAGATTAAGGAGTGATGTTCCCAAACTGTACCACATTTTCACTAAAATGTGTTACAGCAGTCACGATTAAAATGTTTGATAAAGTGAGTTAGAACAAAAACAAGCACTTCATTTTAATTTAAAGGACATTTTTATGTGTTGTCCAGCCACAGAGTGTCATTTCATAGCACAATCAAGTTACTATGTTATCTTCAGTCGTTATAAAAATGCTGCGTATATCAAATATGGTTCAAAATAAATTTGACTTTGATATGAAGCATCTTTTTAAAAACTTCTGCTCTTTATGAAAAGAGTTAAAGGGTGCTTTATGAAACTCCGCCTTCAGGATTTCTCCTCTATTAATCCTTTAATAGGGTCAGGATGATTTAAACTAAAATTTCTGACACTCATACAACAAACTAAAAATATAAAAAATAAATAAGCGTCATAGTAACACAAAAAAAGTTATTTTTAGGGACAGGATACAACATTTTTAGAAAGTGTTTTTTTCCCCCTGGATCCGACAGAAACAGCGCTGCCACGCAGACGCTCACCCATCATCTGCCTGCGCAGACTCTGCAGCTGCGCGGTCAGCAGCAGCTCCTCGCAGCGCAGCACCTCGGCCTGAATGTCGTACAGCTGCAGTTGCAGCTCGTAGTACAGCGCCTCCAGCTGGTCCAGTCGCATCATTGCATCCTCCCCACCCTGCAGACTCTGCATCTGGAAAAAGCAGAGGCTCAGCGTTACGTCATGCCCTCCCTGGCCTCCAAGGACACAGACATGCAGACAGGCTGATTTTCCCAAAAAAACATAAAACATGATCCGACTGCGCTTTTTGTTTCTGATACGAGTCGGACGGAGTGGAAACCGAAGCGGATTCCTGTTTGGTAGCGTTCGACTCCTGAGATGAGACGCAGGGCGCAGGTTTGCATGAAAAGCAAACGTTTGACCCGATTGTCATTCCCAGTGAGTCATTTCCACTGTTGTACAGCAGGATGTTCCTCCCTCCATCACGGGATGCCAGAGCCATGAGATCATTGCTCTGAGTCCATTATCTTGCTTATTTTCCCTCCATCTCTTAACGCACAAGTCTTGTTTTTGGAAAAGCACCAACTTATTAAAGTAAAAACACTTTGTCTGCATTAACTTTTCTTTTTCTTCATCGTGTCGCTCCGTTTTACCTCTTCCTTCAAGCCATGCTTCTTCTGTTCCAGGCAGATTTCTTTGGCCCTCATGAGCTGCAGGGTTTCCTTGGAAACGGCGTACTGCAGCCGCTCCATGCGTTCGATTGCCGTGGCCCACGCTGACTTTCCGAACTTCCTCTGGTCGGCGCGCATCCGCTCGTACAGAGCTGCGGACATGCAGGAGGGAACACAGCATTGGTGAAAACAGGAACCAGTTGAATTTAACTGATGCTTTGGCACATTTTAGTTGTACTCCAGTTTAAAAGATACTTTGATCAAATATTAATAAAAATCCCTTTTGTATGTACAGCAGGAAAAAAACTAACTTACTCCATAAAGAATGTTATTTTTACATCTTTAAATTTTGTGCGTGTGCACAACGCTGCCATGGTAGAACAATTCTGTAAACAAAATGAAACCCCAGATGTTTCTATTATTAATTTAGTGCCACTGCAAAGGGAAAAAAAAAGTGACTCGGAAAAACCGTTGAAGAAAAACTATAAACCACTTGTATTCTTCTTTTTTCTCGCTCCCCGTCAGCTATGCTGCACACAGACATGTTGTCATAGCAACTGACTAACAACAGCTCCACTAAAGTATTAGCATTTAGCACCAAAAAACAAGCAAACATTTCGCACACAAAGAACAGAACATTCAGTCAGTTACATTTCTGTGTCTACAGGCTTGATGTTTATTAAAAAGCGATCGTCTGAATGCGGCGGTGGTTGGTTAGCTAATCTAAACACCTGCTCTACTGTTAATCTGTGAGAGTGGGTGAGAGGTTCACCTTTTTTATTTACTTTTTTTTGCTGGCCCGAAACGCACCGATTTCTGCAGCACATCTACATATTACGGTTGTCAAAGTCAAGCTAGCATAACTGACCTACCTCAATCTGTCTCTCTGTTTTTCTAATTAAAACTATTCATCTACCTTTTCTAGATGTCATTGTGTTGATGGCTGGTAGCAAATCCATGTGTCGTATTTTCTTTTACATATCATGCATACATTTAAGATTCAGCACGTCATGTTGACAACTTTACAACTAAAACCAGTGGTCGTCATCGTCGGCGAGCGTTTTGCCCTCTGGTTGGACGATGGAGCGAAGGCTCTAGCGCACGTCACGCTGCAACGCATCTATAAACGACCTACATACACTCAAATGTTAAAACGCCAAAGTAAATGGAGTGTCTGACATTTTCCCACGGATGGAGGAAATGCCTCTCGTCTCCGTTTACCTTTCTGAGCTCGGGTTGTGGTTTCAAAGAACTTCACAGTCAGGTCTTGAATGGCGAGCACGGCAGCCTGAGCCTTCTTCTGCCACTCCTCATCCTCTTTCCTCAGGCTCTCCACGCGGCGAGGGCCGAGACGTTCCGTCTCCAGGCAGATCTGACGAGAGAGAGGCAGAGTAGGTTCAACACACAAAGTTCTGACAGCTGGAACTGGAATAATATTAGTAAAAATAAATCTCAACCACCTCTCTTTCATGTCCATCACATTGTGTACAGTAGAGTAAACTTTGATGTATTTTATCGGGACAGACTAACATAACATGGCACGTAATTGTTAAGCTGAAAACAACGATAAATGTGATTGGTTCATTTGAATTTGTTGTTTTAATTTAAATACACTGGTGTTTTGTAGGAGGGATGCTGCGTTGGGAGTAATGTGCAGTTTTAGTTTTCTTTGCCTTTATGACGCCACTAATTTTCTCACTAATGTCCTCTCATAAACATCTGGGGCCTTCACAGAGAGGTTCAAAGGGTGTGAATACTTTGACAAGGCACAATTTTTCCTTCCTCAGCCTCACAGTATCTAGTAAAAAAACCCACTAAGGGTTCTGTAATACTCTCAGTCCACAGCAGAGGGTGGTGAAGGGTACGGCTATTAGTGTTTATAGTGACAGTAACCCAGTTTCCCACTGGTCAAATGTTAAAACAATCCACTAAAGGACATTTTTAAAAAATAATGCACAACTTTTAAAGTTGTAACATTTTAGCTGCTAATCCTAAGTCATGAGTGAAAAAAAAAAAGCTAGATGAGTTGAAAGCGCCTGCCATGTGTGAGACCTCACTAGGAAACAACCACAACGATGACACGATGGGCAGCGTGTGGAACAAAATGTACACAGCCAATAAAACAGACTCCCTTCCAGGGCCTCTCGGCACGTGCAGCCGGATAGTAAAGTCTCAATGTAAAACAGATGCGAGCGCAGGAGCTGCAAAATAAACACCGCTACAATAATCGCCAACAAAAGGACTTGAAAGCAGCCTTGTTTATGGCAGACGGCGTGGTGACTGGGTGAGCGCGTTGTGTTCATGGGGAACCGTGCGCGGGGGGCACGAGCACAGGGAGTGGTTTGGAGGTGAAGCAGAGAGCATGAATGGGGGCGGGGGGATTACATCAGCAACCATTAAAAAAAAGGAAACAATTATAATCTAGTCAAGAAAAAGTCGAGTGCATTACATCAGTGTTTGGGTATTGCAAGTTGGACAGCGTACAGTGTAAACGGCACAACCTATTTCTATCTTCATCTTGTTGCCGATTCTGCTCGCTTTGACCCCGTTGACCTGAGCGACACAACGACCTGAAGCCAAACATCTCGATATTAAAACCGCCTCGTGATTTGGAGTCTGCTGAACTGGTTTTTATGCAAAGCAGGAGGCTCCGACACAAACGGGTATTAGTCAGCGTTCCCTCCTTATGAGCATGGCGGCGGCGGCAGGTCTCGACACTCCGGCTCGAACGGGAGACTGAACGCAGACGTGTCAAACGGTCTTTAAATAGAGGTGACACCACTTCCCATGATGGAGTGCTAGGATTACGACATGCGTGCTGTCATGGTGGTCTCTATCTCATTTGGTTAAAATAGGAAGGATCAGATGCACACACACACACACACACACACACACACACACACGGGAGTGTTTATCAAGCAGCTGGAACTTCTTAAAGGTGGAAAAGAGGAGACATTAGGTTTCTCAGCCGTTTTAGAGGATTTCTTTTGAATGAACATAAAAGGTTTTTAGACTTGGACCTAAAATAAAATGCTCTTTAAAACTTAATAGAGGCGAGCAAAGAGAATAAATGCCTCAGAAAGATGCTGGTTCACGTGGTTAAAAACTGGATTTGGTTTGGTAACGAGCACCAGAATGTGGAGCTCATGGAATCCGAGACAATTCTGATTGGTTTAAACCCAACAATAGATTAATAACGACAGCAGCTGTAATCAGGGAGACAATTTACTTCGATCCAGGCCACAGAACTAATTAATTTGAATATTATGCCATGTGACATTTTTGAATCGGGGTCGAATTTGCCTCACAGATAAAGGCGAACCCGGCAGGTGGGATCGGGGGACCAAAGGAACAGCCGTTGCCATGTGACAATGCAGGCTGTGTGAAGCGGTAATTGGAGCCCGACTGCGGCGCGATCCGCCTCAGACGCATTGGGAGTATTGCCACATTTCTAATTCATGGCCACCCACTGACCTTCCAGGCAACAGGACACCCACAGCGTGTAGGTTCGTCCTGCAGGTTGCCATAGTTCACTAGGCACCCATCAGATCTTCGATTCAAATGAGCAGCTTCTCTTTCACTCACAGATTGGGATGTAACCGCTTCAGCTTTGACATGTCATAACCACAAACGTGTTTTTTGACATTAGCAGAATATTGAATATTGTAACCTGACTCATAACCAAGTCAGGCTACATGGTGAATGCATGTGAACATTTATTTTCAGGTCTTGCCGCAGATTTTTGAATGAGATTTGGGTCTGGATTTTGACTGGGCTTGTTTTTGCTTTGTTGTGCCACGACTTCAAAGCTTATTTGCCTTCTAAAGAAAAACATCCTGATAAATCGGATCATTTCCATAATTTTGGGAGCTCAAATATCAGCTAATGCAAACATGTGAAACCGATCTCATGCACTGCTACCTACTTTTTCACTACGTTTAGAGACTTCTCAGCCAAAAAAATTGTAATCAGCAGGTCAGGATTTTTATAAAATGGGTAACTGGTCAGAAAACTGCAGTTGGTGCACTTCTAATCCACAAATCAGATACAAAACTTCAAGGCACAGAGCAGACAGAAGAGACACTCAGCATAAATGGCTCATTCTTCCAGCTTAGCTTGCAATCTGAAGCACTCGTGTTTTTACAACAGTCTCACACATCCCTCCAGTATTTACATTCACACCAACAAAGGAGGTCAGGCGAGGCTGCTGCTCCAGTCAGAAACTGATCCCCGACTGCTCTTTTAGCAGCAACGCCAAGCACAATGCAAACTGCATGTAAATGAAAATGTGTACCAATTCCCAACTCCTTCCTTTTCCCTCATGAGTAAAAGATGGAGAGGGAGGGGGGAAAAAACTACTTCCTGTGTGAGGCTACAACACAAATTTGTTTTGCATACAGCTTTGTTTTTAGTCGTTGGATCGCCCTGAGGGAAGCAGGTGGCAGAGCTGGGGAAAAAAAACAAAAAAAAAAACTTTGGCATCCAGCAGATTTTCCATCTATGAAAACAAAAACGGTGAAGAAATGCTGAAATTAGAGAGAGAGAAAAATTCCTTGAATCGTGTTATGCGTTTAAACAAAGAGCCTATCAGTTTTATTTATTCAACTCTTATTTTACAGTAATGTGGCCTATAATTAATCACTTAATTAAGATTCAAAATAATAAATTAAAAATACCCTACACGTGATATGTGTGTTAAACTTCATTAACTGATTAAACTACAGCTTTTTCACAGGTAGCCAATGAGAGCAGTGCTTTTAATTAACAATTAAAGCACATAGAAGAGAGTTCTGACAACAGGATGAACCCATTCAACTCCATAGAGCTGATATTAATAAACACAGTTCTACTGTTCCACACAGATCAACACTCTGACTCACCGGTGAGCTTGAAATACTTTCTAGAGCTCTAAAAGAAAAGCAAGATAACATCAAGCAATTTCTTAAACTGTAGTCGGTCTTTTTAGCGAATTCACCGACGAGGAAAGGTGAAATTTAAAACAGATTTCTGCTCTACGGACATTTTACATTTTGAGAGAGACTGTAAATTCTGTATTTAGATCAGGATCCACCCCAGAACCTAAATACCATCATAATAGAGGGTCATAAACACACCCACAAACACACAGTTGTTTGTGTTGGTTGGTGAAGCCATGCGGGATCAGCATGCTGAGTAAGGAATGCAGATTAGAGAAGGAGAAGCACTGTTCACTCGGGGGGTGGTGTGGGGGGGGGGGTTCGCCGATTGCAGTTTTCTGGCCGATCACGATCTTTAAAAAGCCTGACCTGGGGATACCCGTTTTTTTTTTTTTTTTTTTTTT